GGGGACATTGTGTTGTGTTCTTGGGCAAGACACTTTGGTCTCACAGTGCCTCTCTCCACCCAGGTGTACAATTATCGGCAAAGCTCTGGCCTGGTGGGCCATTTGGCTTGTATGCAGACTTTTTACCATTTAACGTTATGCCATAAAAATGGCGAGAGACTGATTAAGACTGTGTCAGATTGCCATCTCTCAGACTGAGCACTCCGAAACACTGAGACAAAATTTAAGATCAGATAGAAACAAAAAATTCCTTGTTCTGGCTCATGTTCTCCATACAAGAAGTAGTAGTCATTGACAGCAGTGGCCAAGAAGAGGTCTTGTGTGTTTGGTTTGCTACAATCTGAAATTTTGATTATCATATTGTTTAATGAGTAACACAGATCAGGTGGATAAGAATGAAAAGGGCTGTTGACTAATGGAAATTGTTTGATATGCTTTTGAACCTACAGCAACATTTACGAAACGTCTTGTCCAGATAGCGAGGGGAATTGGGATAAAAGTTTGAGCTTGGGGCCAAAAGTGAAACCACTAGCTAACTTCGACATTTTTAACTAGTCATGCTGCTGTTTTTCACTCTCTGTTTACAGAGCGCAGCTTCGGTCTGCGCATCAGGGACAGCCACTACCCAGCTCACTGAGTATTTTAGAAAGTACATCACAAGTCAGAGGACTTCATGCAATTATTAGGTTAGATCTGTATAAATGAATACAGTAGGCTCCTTTTGGTACATTATTGTGCCTGTCAATAACTTATTGGCTGCCTGTCAATAACTTATTGGCTGCTGTCAAAAACTTATTGGCTGCTGTCAATCATAATAAATTACAATGACAACCAACGAGCCTTAAAAACAAGAAAGAAACATAATGGAGTGAAATGTAACAACTACAACCCACTACCATGACCCTAGAACCCACTGAAGTAAACTTCTGTTTCCTGGAGTGTGAAATCATTGACTGAACAGAATTCATGTGTTATTGAAAGGTACAATAAAATTCAGTGACGTCCACAGGAAACAAACAGAGGAAATTGAATGTTAAGCATGTATGTTTGTTTTGCTCATTTGTGTCGTATAGACCTTGATGTAAACCTGATTTTTAATGTAGCAAAAGATGCCTTGATTTTGAAGCAATTGTGGCAATAGGTCCCTTACTGAGGTGATTTTATAGTTTTCAAAAGATGGTGGGAATGTGGTGTTCCACTGGAATTAAATGAACACTGGTAAAGTAACAGAGACATAAAAAACAGTGAAATATTAATTACCATTTATTAATGCCTTTGGAGCTTGCTTACCATTTGTCTGTGGTCTGTTTTGTTGTCAGGAATGAGAATGCTAGTAGAGATGATTTTATCTTTTATTCCAAGAGGTTGATGAGAATTCTTATCGAGCATGCACTCTCACTCTTACCTTTTAAAGTAAGTGTAGATTTTCTTTTCTTATTAATCCAGCTATTTTGGGCTCTTCTGCTTTTTTGCATGTTGCAGGGCTGTCATTAAATTTTATGTCTCCTGTTGCTCCTGTTCCATTCTTCAGAGTTCATAATCAAAATAACCAAAACACAAATTTGGAATGGGGTAAAGGATGGTTCAGATACAAAATTAACCTAAATTCAACTTGTGGAACGTACTTAAGTTTCAAACTTTCCAGTATTGGTTTCTTCTTTTAGAGAGATGTTGTCAGAACTATGGAAGGAACAGTTTATGAAGGAAAACGATTTGCAGGAAAAAGGGTAACAAATTGCATCTTTATATTTTGTTGCAAATTTGCAGTAGCTTTAAAAATTAGATAGGTAATTTAAGTAACTAATCTGTGCAACTCTGGCAATGGCGCTAAAGAAAGTTTGTTCTGGACACCAGAGGGAATAACAAGAATAACTTGGAGGAGGTCAGCAGAGAAAGAACTTGAGTCCATGTACCTGACCTGGAAAGAAATCCAAATGGTGGGACAACACTGCTCCTGCTGCAGAGAGACAGTGAAAGCCTAATGCATCCCATGGTGCGATAGGAGTGATGATGAAACTGTTTGTAAATGAACTTGATCCAACTCTTAGGCTGACCAAACATAAACCTTGGATGACCAGCCTCTCGCCTCGTTTTGTAACATTTTAAACCAGTATTTTAGGTTGTAAGACCCATTTGAATGTAATAATTGTAAGAAGTGCCTAACTTCTATTTATAAAACTGTTCACACTTTACTAGTGATTTGGTGGTTAGTTTGTTCTATTCTCGATCAGTGGGTCTGGATTTGTGCTTGAGAGGGACAGTTTTGGAATTGTGAAATTTTGGGGATTTGTTAAAACACTTAAATCTGACAGTGCCTATTAGCCTGTGTTGTTGGCAAGATTTGGTGTGTTAGTGCTTCAGGCTAAGTGCCTTTTGTACTCCATTATTATTTGCACTGCTACAAGTATGCCACAGAAAATTTAAGTATTTGGCCTCTCTAACGAATGATCTGCCCCCTCCCCCTGATGATCAGCATTGGAACAAGCCTAAACCATTTTTTTCTTCTTGTTTAATGTATGTGTGGTTTCTTTGCAGCTGTGCGGTGTGTCAATACTGCGAGCTGGTGAAACCATGGAACCGGCCCTGGAGTCTGTGTGTAAAGATATCAGAATAGGAAAGATTCTCATCCAGACTAATGAAGACACATCAGAACCCGAGGCAAGTGATCAACACCTAATCTCTCCTTTCAATATCAATACAATGTCAAGTAGGTGGGTGATGAGAATTAAGAAAATCATCAACTGGGGGATATTTTTGTGATGTATTGCCCAATTCTCCGGAGTAACATTGAAAGAGAAGTATGACTTTAAGTTAGGAGAATTGATATTTTGAGGATTAAACTAAAGTTGTTAGGGATTTTAGAAGAAATATTTAATATTAATTTAATACTTGGATATGAGATGGTAGATAACCAATGAGGCACATGGCGCTAAGTTGGCAATAATCAACTCATATCCAACAAGCGCGAGTGCAATAATTGTTTTATCTAAAATGCCTTCAAAATATGTATGGGTTATTGACCAAGCGTGAGGTCAAGATGGCTGGATATTGGCCAAGTTCTTTTTTCGCGAGTTTATGGACCGAGACGGAGTCGTGGTCCATAAACTCGCAAAAAAAGAATGAGGCCAATATCAAGCCATCTTGACCGAACAAGCTTGGTCAATAAAGGATTTATTATAAGGCTTTCACGGAAAATTTTCTTGCGAGTCACGGCGGGTAGTCCCGAGCGAGCAAGATAGCTCCATCTTGCCCGCTCGGGTAGCCAATCACAGCGCAGGATTTGATTCATCGTGCCCGCTCACGGAGCTAGCCATGTAATAAAGAAACTTAACATAAAAGGAAAAACACCGCAAAAGTTACGTCAGCGCTTATCATATTTGTAGAGCATGGTATATATATACCATGATGGCTTGGCCAATGAAAACTCTTGAATTGCATAATTTAATGATCCAGTTTTTAATAAAAAGTGTTATGGTGATCTATTATTTCTTTAAAGCATATTTAATAATGTTTAATATTATAGTATTTAGTGTGTTTTTCCTTGATTTTAAAGTCAGTTGTGGAGTACAATTCTCTCAAGTAGCAGGGAGAAGATTTGACTTTCCCAGCTTAGTTTGTAAGTTTTTGTAAGATGTTACCTGCTAGCTGTGTAACTATTAATGGCTTTGCTTCTTTCTCCTAGCTTCATTATTATCGTCTTCCAAAGGACATCAGTGAAGATCACGTTATACTTATGGATGCAACAGTGGCTACTGGAGCAGCCGGTGGGTGGATATTTTAATTCTGTTCCACAGAGTTCATTGGCATGTTTTCTGCAGGTTGCAGAACCGCTATCTTGTTGACTTTCATTGAATGTTCACTCTTCTTACAGCATTTCTATCTTTTTTTACAGCTCTCATGGCCATCAGAGTTTTACTGGTGAGTGAACCATCTTAGTGGTAGTTGTTCTTAAAGATTGGAAAGTCAATTTCAGATCTTATTCTGTAAGGTAGTGTTGTTGTGCGTGGCAAAAAGGACTAGGTCGCACGTCTACAGCGGTCAGTTTTTTCCCTTGGCCGCTAGTTTCATTAAGTTTTTGGCCTTCTCCTTGTTTCACATTCGAACTACTGTGCACTTGCAATGGAGCCAGACCTAGAGTTGCTGCTTGAAGATTATGACCAGAAGTAAAAAGATTGGAACATGTCGTTTTTTGTTTCCAATTGCAATTTGCAGTATTTGTATAAACTCCAGGCGTGCTAGGGCTTCTCACTCTGATTCTATTGCTAGTCTGCAATAGAACCTAGGATGTAACTTATGCAAAAATTTCAAACATATTTAAATTATTCTCTTCTGTGGTTAGTCAGCTTTAACTTGGAATTGAACTCTCTTTTGACAGGACCATGACGTCAAGGAAGAAAATATCCTGTTTGTGTCTCTGATAGCTGCTGAATCAGGTAAGTTCACGTCTTTGTTCACTGAAAGGTTTTGTAACAGACTAGTGGTATTATGGTGGCTCTTTACAGTTCTCAACACTTTACAAGACGTAGATTTAGGTGGGTCATTATTACCAGTCTTTATCAGTTGATTTTTTTGTTGCTTTTTTTCTTTGTTTTCATTTGTTTTCTTTATCAGTTGATGCTACAGTCATGGTATCAATAAACCGCGCAATCATTGGTGAAGACGTTGTTATCATTTTCGTGGCACAATAGGTTACAATAGCAACAGTATGACCTGCTAAAACCCCTGCTCTCTCTCCACCCAGGAGAATAGTTGGACTGGTGAACTTTAAGAGAAACCTGAAGAAATGGTGGGCGTAAACCTGCTATGGATTGCTCCGTCCATCCCCAGGATTGAAACAATCTTGAACATTTGTACTTTGAATGTAAGCAGGGTAATATTGGCTAAGGAAAGTTTACGCAAGAAAAATTCTGCCATGAGATGTTTGTGTGTGGCATATGAAAAGTAACATCAGGTTCAAACTGTTCTGTTGTAGGTGTTCACACGATAGCCTATGCATACCCAAACGTAAAGATAGTGACAGCAGCTGTCGACCCAGAAGTCAATGATAAATTCCACATCATTCCTGGCATAGGTAAGCAATTAGGATGCTGTTGACTTTCTTCAGAAAATCTCCCAAAGCTTAGCAGTTGAATTTCTCGCAGAAATATTCATAAGATAGCAAAGAATCCTAACAGTTATCTGGCATAAATAATTTATGCGCTCCTAAGTGGAACAAAATGAAATATTCCACTTTTCCGTGTAGGATCAAGCGGTCAAGGCTCGAGCACTGGCTATTATTATGTTTTGCTTTTGGGAAGACACTTTCCTCACACACTGCCTGTTGTATTGATTTTTCCCGGGAAAATTTGCTGGGGTAACCTGATTGGCTTACCCTGCGATGGACTAGCATCCCATCCAGGGGGACTAGAAATACCCCTGGGCATTTCATGCTACTACATGTAGGAAACCAGAGTTAAAAGTGAGCACTGATGAGCTAAGCAGAAAGGGCGAGAAAAACCATGAAACAGTTATGAGCGTGAAAGAGAGGAGGGGATGTCAAAACGGGGGAGGGGAAAAAGATAACCCAGGGGAAAAGGATAACCCAGGGGGAAAGGATAACCCAGGGGGAAAGGATAACCCAGGGGGAAAGGATAACCCAGGGGGAAAGGATAACCCAGGGGGAAAATATGTCTTCCTGGGGATTTCATTTTGGAAAACGTCAGGGTACAATGTAAACGAGAAAAAGAAGTTTAAAAAACTTAAAACTTAAAACTGCGTAAGTGACTGAAGATACGTGGTGTGTTTATTTTTCAGGAAATTTTGGTGACCGTTATTTTGGGACCGATGATTATTGATAAACGTATATTATGAAATTAAAATAAGTCATTTTTGTAAAATGTGTAGGTAAAGAGTAGTTTGTACGTCAATATATGTACCCTTTATACATTTGTATGCTTGTTTGCAAAAACATTACTTAATATATCATATATATACGGTAACCAGCTAAACGAATTATGTACAAACATACTTGTAAAAATTTCTAATTAAACCAAAATCACATGAAAATCGAATCGAAATGTTGAAATAACTTCACCGTAAGCCTGTACTTACAATGTAAACGACAAGGGCGCGACATACCTGAAGAGTACGTGGTTGTCACAGGTCAGGAAATGGTCAGGGAAATATGAAATTCCTCAAGGTCAGGGAAAAGTCAGGGAATTTTGTTCTGGGTCTGGGAAAATTGACATTTTGAAGAAAAATTGGGGAAAATTGAAATAATTTAACACGGCTGATTTAATATCATTGAAGGCCGGAAGAAACATTCGGGGTCACCGTGATCTCAACGTTATTTTTACTTAATGAAGAAGGAAAATTTGTTGAAAACTTATCGCCTGTACACAATGTAAGTTGACGCCAGAAGCTGCCACTAGATCTGACGTTTTGTATTTATTTGGTCTGGGAAATTTTATTTTTATGAGGGAAATGTCAGGGAATTTTGAAAAGTGATGCCTGTGGCAACTATAAAGAATTTGTTTTAAAACGTTTTCACGATGCTCGCTGATTATCTCGTTGAGATTTCAAGCATTCGAAACATCCTGTCATTGTAAGAATTCTTGGATGTTTTTTAGGATGTTAAAGGGGATGGGACATAGGCAGATTCGATGGAAACGAGGAGAACAAATATTTAATGAAGATCTAAATGTATAATTTTTTTAGGTAATGGAAGATGGGAGCTAAAGTGGACTGTTCCATCTAAGGTTCGTCCACACTGCGCCGGAGGAATTTGAAAACGCAGCTTTATTTCTACGGTAAGCCTACCGTCCACACTAATCCGTCATCGAAAAAAAAATTCGTTTTCTTGTGGACGGAAAACATTGTGAAAACGGAGCTTTTCCAAAACGATGGCGTTATGATAATCACGTGATTTCCTTGACCGAGTTTTCCTCAAATGAGCGTTGATCGTTGCGTTCTGCGGCGTAGTGTGAATGGAAAGTACTGGATGCGTTTTCAGAGTGAAACCTCCGTTTTCAAATTCCTCCGGCGTAATGTGGACGGGTCATAATGTTTTCATTGGGGCAGTCTATTTTGCGAGTGTAGAGGTTTTCTTTTGGTCAATCAGATGCGAGGCAATGCTGAGACTCGTGCAACGCGTGTGATGTACTCTAGCCAATCAGGTCAGAGGCTTTGCCATCTCAGCCAATCACGTACAAACCCAATCCAGTGCGGGAGTTGCTTACTTCATATTTCCCGCGCTTTTCACGGGCTGCAAGTTGTCCCGCGCTCCCCAGTGGTTTTAGATCTTTTTGTCTGTGCGGATTAGTTTATTTTGCACGCGATTTTCCAGAGCATAGCAACAGCAGTATTAAAAGAAAAATCCGCTTTCGTTTTAAAGACCGTATCTCATTAGGTACTTCAAACTTTCTTCCAAGAACGTTTCTAGAAACGATTAAAAACAGTAAACTGCAAACAGTTGAAAATCAGCCGTGCAAATTATATAAGCGTTCTTTATATAAATTCCTTGTTCTTATACTTAGAAAAAAAGGTGGAATTATTCTTTATGAACCAACATTGACATGAACACGGTAAATTGAAGCAACAGATTTTATTTATTGCCTCTTTTGGCAACTTATCCTTGCGATGATTTTTGTAATCATCTTTAACAGCTTCGATTTTTTAAATAACTTTAACCGTTACAATAAGGGTTATATTATTCTAACTTCAGTCACGTGAACGTCGGGATTTAGTTTAAAAGGTAACTCATTTACATGGGTGAAGGGAACGGATAATCAATAAAGAAAATAATTTTATACAAATAAAAATGTTTCATAACCCGAGGAATATTGTTGAGTAGTAATTGCTGCGTTTTTGGTTAGGCGTCGTCGAAGACACGGTGAAAATTTGCGTTACGAACATCATTTGATACTCACAGGTTGCCTAGTTCCTGTACGGTTTTCTGTTAGGCCTTCACGGTTTACTGATTTCGAAGCGAGGAACTTGGCAAACTCGCAAGCAGTTATGTTTCAGTCGTACACCCCCTCCCCTCTGTTACAAAAAAAAAAAAAAAAAAATGGTGTACGTACTTATTTTAACACTCACTGAACCTTATATTAAAGTAGTTGATGTCTTTTAACTGACTTTTTAAACATCTCGATCACTGAATATAAATACACACCACACGAATGCAGTTTCGTATCCAGATAAGCTCAAACTGGGCGCCTGGGCGCCTAGAGGGGAGAAAAGCTGACTTACGACATTTCTTGCTCAATAACTGTGAGTAGAGGGAAGGGTTTACCACATTTGATCATGTGTCCAGCTATCACAAAACATGTAGCGACAATCATGGACAAAAGTCGTGCGACAAATATTTGCACTTTTGGTGCTTTTGCACACACGCCAGACAGTCGTGCGAATACACTTTTACCTGCCTAACCTCTCCCCCCACCCCACATACAATGCTGAAGACTAGCACGTGCAATTTCTTTTGAGATTTAGCATTGTACTGGGTAGGGAGGGAAACAACGCGTTCTTAAAAGTACAGCAGTGCTTTTTCAAACCAGTTGTAAAACACAGAAAATCCGTTGGTCTACATCAGTGCCCCAAGGACTTTTGTACACAATTTATAAATTATGTTTTCGAGAAATGGAAACTAAACCAGTGCCTGGACTTCTAGAAAGCCCGTCTCACTACGTCCACACAAAACCTTCTAACTTCTAATTTCTCAAGTGTTCAAACCGCCGTAAAATCTGGAAGTTTTACCGCTCTGGTTAGACTTTCTTACAATGCTACAAGTCGAGCTGCGAAACCTTATCGAGCTAGAAGCGAGAAAAATGTCCGCCAGTTTGTCCAGATTGTGACGTGCGCGACTAACAGGAAGGAAAAGGACTAAGCACAACCGCGAAGACCTTGCAATCCCCTTGCAATCCAAATATAGTTTTATATTCAATCACTTGAAAAAGAAACTGGACAGCTATATCAAATAGGAAGGGCGTGGGAAAATTAATATCAAGCCAGTAAACCTCAAGGGACAGATTTTATGGCGGCCTTAAAGTTTCAAAATTTACAAGCATTTGTAAGCGAAAGGAC